TTGTCCAAAAAGCTTTTGCTTTTGGACATGTCCACCACATATGATAATATGAACCAGGTATCTGTTGACATTTCCAACATTTAGCAGACATGTTCTTAAACACCTTTGCCAACCTTGTGGGTGAAAAATGGCATCTACAGAATATTTTATAAAGATTTTCTTTATATGCAGTTGACATCGTTAATTTATAATTCCTATCCCACAATTTCTGCCATTTATCTAACTCTATTGTATAACCAAATTTTTTAGCCCAGACTATCATTGTCTCCTTTACTTGCTCACCTTCCATCTTGACACTTAGTAGATAGAATAAGGGACGTGGTGGCTCAGTGGCTAAGATGCTGAGCTTGTCGATCAAAAGGTCGGCAGTTCAGCGATTTGAATCTCTAGTGCCGCGTAACCGAGTGACATCCCATTACTTGTCCCAGCTTCTGCCAACCTAGCAGTTCGAAAGCACATAAAAATACAAGTTGAAAAATAGGGACCACCTTTGGTGGGAAGGTAACAGCGTTCCGTGCTCCTTTGGCCTTTAGTCATGCTGGCTACATGACCACGGAGATGTCTTCGGACAGCACTGGCTCTTTGGCTTTGAAACGGAGATGAGCATCGCCCCCTAGAGTTGGGAACAACCAGCACATATGTGCGAGGGGAACCTTTACCTTTACTTTTAGATAGCTACAGTATATATTTTCTTTATTAATTTTTCATCCATCCCTGTTAGTCTAATTCTGTTAATTCTTTATAAAAAACATACATTTTAGCATCTTTCTTATATCAAGATTGTATCTGCACTTGTGGCAGATTTTATATCCTTAAAGGTATAACATTGCTAGATGATGTCAGAATAAGTGAGAAAAAATACATTAAAAATACCTACTGTAAGTACAAATCTATGTTTCTTATTTGTAAAATGTCGCTTTAGTGCTGTCTACTTCTAATTAGTGAATTATTCACTAGTCCTGAAAGATTTTTACAGGCACCTGTATCAGATTACATTTCATTTGTACAGTACATATCCAACTTTCAGATCGTGTTCCTAATTATTTAGGTGCATGGAGGAAGCATAGCACAACCTCCTTGAATCACCTACTCTAAACAAACAAAAAAATAATAAAAGTGCCCTTGAAATTCAAACCCCAATTTTTCAGATCAAAGCAATTAGATTTGACTTGACCATTAGAGTCAAATTCCTTTTGCAGAACAGGGTGAATTCTTCCATCCCTCATTTTCCTTTCATGTGTTTGCATGGACTGCATCCCAAAACAGGATGTGATTGTACAGATTCAGTCTATATTTGTAGAATGTTTTCAGTGCAAGAGAGCTGTATAGATATCCAGCTAAATGTGCTTTTCCTCCTCTACTATTTATATTAACGTTGGAAGTGTTAAACAGAAAGATTAGACAAGTCTCAGAAATTAGAAAAGAAAATACAAATTATAGGCTTTCGCAGGTGACCTGGTATTTATTTTAGAAGAGCAGCAAGAAACTGGACCCAAATTAATAAAATAGAAGAATAAGTGAAGTTGTAGGATTGAAAATAAATAAAGAGAAAACTAACATATCAGTTAAAAATGTTACAAATAAAAAAAAAGAATTGATGAAGGAGATAAATATTCAGATAGTCAAGAAAGTAAAATACTTAGGAATTCAATTAACAGCAAGATGTGCAACTATTAAAGAAGATAATTATACTAAGCTGTTGCAACATATTAAACTAGATCTGGAGAAATGGCAAAACTTGCACTTATCGATAGTAGGAAGAATAGCTACAATAAAAATGAATATCTTGCCAAGATTATTATTTTTGTTCCAAACAATTCTGATAAAGTTAGAAAAAAAATACTTTGAGGAGCTAAATAAAAGGATGTTAAAATATCTTTGGCAAGGGAAAAGAGATAGAATAAGACTGAAAATGCTACAAGACTCCAAAAACAAAGGGTTGGGTTGCCAGATTGGGAGTTATACTACCAAGCCTCTGCACTTACATGGGTGAAAGAATGGATAAATCTGAGGCATAAAAGTTTATTAATTTTGGAGGGATATGATCTTCAACTTGGGTGGCACACCTTTCTATGGTATGGGAAAAATAAAATACATAAATGTTTCCACAGACATTATGTTAGAAATGCTTTGTTGTTAGCATGGGGAAAAATCAAAGAAAAACATTATATGAAAATACCAGTCTGGCTTTCCATGATGGAGGCACTGATACATCCGAAAGATGTTAATCTGGAAAAACATATAAGATATAAAGACATTTTGAATGAAAAAGGGGAACTTAAAGCTAAGCAAGAGTTGAACGATCAAGTGATTGATTTCACATGGTGGCCGCAAGATATGAGAAAGATGTAAAAGTGTATGGTTTTTATAAAGAACCAACAGAATTAGATCAGATATTATTAGGCACAGATGAAAAGCTAATAAAAAATGTACAACTATTTACTGAGTATTAAAATGGAAGAAGAACAACTGAAAGAAACAATGATAGTATGGGCCAAAATCTTTGGATATACTATAGAGTTAGATAAATGGCAGAAATTGTGGGACAGAAATTATAAATTAACGATGTCAGCTGTCTATAAGGGAAATTTATATAATATGTTTTATAGGTGGCACTTACCACCAGCAAGATTGGCAAAGGTGTTTGAAAACATGTGCTCCAAATGTTGGCAATGTAATCAGTTACCGGTTTTGTACTATCACATGCAGTGGACATGTCCAAAGACAAAAAAATATTGGACAAAAATACATACCGGTAGGTGGTTAGAAAAAATGATAAAGCAACGTATTGATTTTAAACCAGAAATATTTTTGTTGGTTATTTTATCAGAAGAATATAATAAAGGGAATTCATGTTTGATTTTACATGTGTTAACAGCAGTGAGAATTGTCACAACAAGCTGTGTGAGCTGATCACAGCCTTGTGATCATATTCATCCAAACAAGATGAAAAGACATGCCCTTCAGAAGCCAATCATAAACTCCTCCTCACCCATTGGAGGTGGGGTGTATTGTAAGTGGAGAGCAGAGATAACTTATTATGCATTGCTGGCATTAAGATAGAAAAGCTGACATGAAGAAACTTCTGTCTCTTGCATTATTGGTGCTCTTCTTATCAAGACTTCCCCTTACATATGAAGGTATGTCTCTGAACCTAGTCAGCAGCAATTATTTTAGAATCCAGCATCAACACTTTTTGAAAACAAATCTACTCTTATGTTAGAGAAGAGGAAACTTAAACAAGGAGTCATGATTTGAGAGTGCAATGGATTTAGAGCCAATTTTTACTACTCAGGCAATGCTCCAGAACCAAAGAAGGAAATGATGGGTCAATTTAAATACTTTTATTGATTTTCAATGTTTGGGCCCTTGTTGTTGTCCATGGGGTTTTTTTTAAAGCCATGGGATTTTTTAAAACCTGAAATAGGATATATTGATATTTCACAGAAGGTCCAATAATTGGGAAAGAGTTTAAGTGAATGTATATCAAAAAAAAGGGGGGGGAGAGAAGGGATATGAATCAAACTTTTCTCTCCATGTGATCTATCAAAGCACTTGCCCTCATAAAATATAAGTAGGACCTGGTGTAGAAGTAGGAATTTTAAAAGTATTTTGCCACAGATTTCCAGGGAATGGATTTTTGTTCTCAGTGAGTCAATGAAAGTTGATAGGCAAGAAGTTCCAATACTATTATTGATGGTGGTGGGTCAAACAGACAGCGAGATGTTTAGACTGGATTTCGGAGATTTATCCACCTTTCGAGTCCTGCCAAAGAACCTGGGATAGACAGATGTTGTGTGATGGTTTTAGGGTATTGTTGCAGGATGTACGAGACCGCCTTCTGCCACCAATAGCCTCCCACCGGCGAGTACGCTCGCACAGAGTGGGCCTCCTCAGGGTGCCGTCCGCCAGACAATGTCGGCTGGCGACCCCCAGGGGGAGAGCCTTTTCTGTGACGGCGCCCACCCTCTGGAACAACCTTCCCCCAGAGTTACGTATAATAACAGACCTCCGGATTTTTCGTCGGGCCCTGAAAACCTATTTATTTCAACTAGCTGGGCTGGCTTGAGCTAAATTTTAAATTGATTTTAAATTGGGGGTTGTTTTACTTTACGGCCAAAATATTTAATTATTTTAATACTGTTTTTTAAATTTTGTATGCTCTGTTTTTACTTAGGCTGTGCACCGCCCTGAGTCCTATTTGGAGAAGGGCGGGATAGAAATTTAATTAATAAATAATAAATAAATAAATGTAAACTGTTCTGAGTAAAATTGCCTTTTGCAATTGATCGATGGTTTTGTCAATGCCATTGGTGTTCAAGTGGTGGTCCAGATGTTTTGGGATTGGTACCTATTACTTTTGGTACTATCTTTGATTTCTTATTATTTATCCTTTCCCTCCCACCCTCTCCCACCCCCCAAAAAAACCCTTGCTGGATAAAATCATCCTATATACTCACCGTTGTGTGGACTTTCCTTGGATATTTCTCCTTGGCTATACTTTGTAGAACGAGCAACATATCTATGCAAATTCATGGAGATAGTGATCTTATAAATACTGGTGTTAAGCCCTGTTTTCCTCTGATATCCATCAAGAGAGAAAATGACATTATAAGATCTGATTTTGGTTCATGTGGAAGGCATAGATCTGAAGAGCTTGCTTGCAGAGGTCAACATCTATGAAAGGATGGTAATGTCTTAGGGGCAGAAAATGCAGTTATAAGGTGTACTTCTGTTTCTGCATCACTTTGATAGGTGGTATGGTGCTGTGGCTTTTGCTATGGGGAAAAAGAAGAAGAGGTGCAGCCAGATATTTTGAAAAATATTTTCATAACCTGTTTTGGTGGGTCAGAATAATGTTTCAGGAATGATCCTAAGTGAACTTGGCTGACTTGGACAACTGTCCTGCAAAATATAAATTAAAATCTACTGGATTTACTGATCTACCGAGATAAATAAAAAACATTTTTTTTAATCTTGAGTTTCACTTTTAAAAATAGATTGGAAAATAAAATGCACAGACTGCCTCTTTCGACTTCCAGGCCACGCATGCACCCATAAACCAAATTCTTGTAGCATTGAACATGGACAGACCTGCTTCAGACAGACAGTCTATTTTGGTAAGTGTTTAATGGCCATCCCATAGCAAATCCTGATTTTCTTTGAGCAGTTTGACACAGCAATAAAGATTACATATGTTTGTAAGCAACAGACATTTCTTCTCATCGTGGCTAACCATCAGTGCATCTTTAGAAACTTTCTCAGGAATGTTAATTCTCACAGGTCTCGATGGAAGGTTGTTGAGTAAACCTAGGACTTTAAAAAATTGAGGGGGAGGTGGGGGGGGAAAAAGGGGTGAAAATGTAATTGTAAAACTTTTGCAATAAAAAAATTGATCAGGGAAGTTTCTCAAACTTTTTTTGCTATCCTGATCGAAGTCAAAGGGCCTCAATGCAAATTAATCAGAAAAGATCCCACTAAGATAACAATAGGACTTATTTACCAAGAATGGTCAGAATTTCTCAGCAGAACTTCTGAATATCCAGCTTCCAGTTCTGTTTGTTGAGTTCCCTAGTTAGTTTTCCAAATCAAGGAAAGCATGTAAAGCAGTGGTGGGTTTCAAAAATTTTTACTACCGGCTCTGTGGGTGTGGCTTGGTGGGCATCGCTTGTGGGCGTGGCAGGGGAAGGATACTGCAAAATCTCCATTCCCTCCCTAATCCAGGGGAAGGTTACTGAAAAATCCCCACTTCCTTCCGATCAGCTGGGACTCAGGAGGCAGAGAATAGACCAGGCAGGATCAGTCAGAATTTTTACTACCGGTTCTCCATACTACTCAAAATTTCCACTACCGGTTCTCCAGAACTAGTCAGAATCTGCTGAAACCCACCTCTGATGTAAAGGATTTATTGATCAGAGAAAATGAAGAGGGGATTTGCTATGACATAATTTTCCAAGCAAGGAAGTCTGTGGGTTACCTTGAGAATCTCAGTAGCCAGAGATTTTACATTTAGAAAAAGGAAAAGCTTCATCCATTTTTATGGTTTTATAAATGCCATGCTCAGAATGAATTAATATGCAAAAGGACCCAATCTGAGATGGTCACCAGGATCAAAAGTTTACTCTTTCAAGTTTTCGGGCTCATGCTGGAGCTCATCATCAAGGAAGTCTTCTCTCTCTAGAACATGTGCTACACATTGTATTTATATGGTTCCCAATTGTGTGTAGCTTGTGTGTTGTCTGGCTAGCTAGCGTCATCAGTTGGTCCCAGTGATCAATTCAGACTGGATCCTGCAACATTTTCCTAAGACATGTATATTTCTCTTCATAGCAATAACACTTAGCAATAGCACTTAGACTTATATACCGCTTCACAGTGTTTTACAGCTCTCTCTAAGCAGTTTACATAATCAGCATATTGCTTCCAATAATCTGGGTCCTCATTTTACCGATCACAGAAAGAGGGAAGGTTGAGTCAACCGTGAGCCAGTCAGGATCAAACTCTTAGCAATGTGCAGAGCTAGTCTGCAATACTGCATTCTAACCACTGCACCACCAAGACTCTTTCATTCATGATATATGGAATTTTTACACTGCAAAAGTGTAAACTTTCACCCCCTACAACTGCCCAAACAAATAGAGCTATTTGCCTCAAGAAGCCCAAGAAGGAATGAAGCATGCAACCTCTTATGCTGTCTACAAGTTGTGAGAGGTTGCTTAGCATCAAGGCATGCTAATAGAACAACAAGGAAAATCTGTTCCTGAAGCCACAGTTCTAAGAGATAAGCTAAGATCTCTTTTCTTCTACAGGACGGGTTCCATTATATAGCAAAATGGGTTGCGCTGAAACTTGTATGGCGGTCAAAGAGGAGAAGGAGAAACTGAAGATCTCTGAAACCTTTACTTGCTGCCATTTATTTAACCATTGTAACGCATAAGAGAACCTGCAACTTGGAGCTCGCTATGTGAACAAAAAGATGGAAATGTGTACAGTATCCAAAAGTACACCCTCTGTGGAAATACTGTTGAAAGCTCTATTTTTGGCTACTCACCCAAGGCACGGTAGAGAAGGATGGCAATCGAGAACCACAAACCCTTGCTCATGTTTTCTTTCCTTCCGGCTTTTGTTACTTTGAAATAAGATTGAAGAATTTGGTGGATCTTTAATTGTATTGATGAAGATGATCCTGACCTGTTATCAAAGTCAGTATTAACTCACACAGACGTACTTTCAGAGCAAGTCACAAATGGATGTGAGTTCTCTGAAGGTGGTGTTATAAAGGCTCCAAAATTACAATAAAAATCTTTTGCCAAGAATCCCCAATAGCCCTGTACAGTTTGTTCTGTACTTCGTTGTAGGTTACACCTGAATACTTGATTAAGCTGTTATGAAAACTTTCTTAATCAACTGGAAACACATTAAAATTAGACTCACCCATAGACATGATTGGCCTTTTGGTAAGACTCACATTCCCTTAGGACCCTTCTTCCCACCTCTGTGTGAATCTTATGAAAACACTTGTAAGATTTCCAAAGGTATTGAAGACTTTCTTGGGCCAAACACATGCCTTGAAATTGCCAAATTAACAGCTAAAAGAAAATCTGAGGCAGAAAACGAGAATATTTTGGGTGGAAAATCTCTTTATTCCACATTCTGCTGCTTTTATGCTCCAAGTGGTGCCCTTTTTTGTGAGATCTGGTACTGGCTACCAGCTTACTTGCTTCAAAATCGGTTGAAACGATTGATGGAAGTCATAGAAGCTATGATGACAGCCTGAGTGCCTCTGAAGGCCATCTTGTTTTATTTTATTTTTATTTTATTAGTTTGTCAAACATGTACAGAAAGCAGATGTAAATATAGACATGGACCTGAACGAAAGAAATTACATATAAATGGGGACAGTAGGACAGGGATGGTAGGCACGCTGGTGCGCTAATGGTGAGCTCTGGGGCTTAGATCATTTGAGATGAGTTCTCCTAAATCCTTGACAGAGTGAGGGTCGTCTACGAGGTTGTTTCCACCCAACTTGTATTTGGTGTTCTGATTTTTATTGCCAATGTGTAGGACAGAGCATTTATTAGTCGAGATTTGGAGTTGCCAATTGTGTGACCATTCAGACACATGGTCAAGGTCGCTTTGTAGGGTAGCAGTATTGTCAGTGCATTGAATAATTTTACATCATCAGTGAAGAGGATGCAGCTGCTTTTAATATGATCACATAAGTCATTAATGTAAAGAAGAAAGAGTGTGGTTCCTAGAATGGTGCCTTGGGGGACACTGCTATTAACTGGTGCCGAATTTGATAGGGTCCTCCCTATTTTGTTGTCTGTTTGACAGGAATGCAGCTATTTGTGTAGGGATCCAGAAAGGCCGTAAGAACTTAGTTTTAACAGTAGTTTGTTGTGCACCACTGAATCAAAGGCTTTGCAGAATTCTATGTAGATTGTGTCTATTGCTTTACCCTGGTCAAGATGTGTGGTCCAAATGTTTCTGCAGTGTAAGAGTTGCAAATTATAGGACAATTTTTTTCTGAAACCAAATTGCTTGTTAGAGAGTAGGTTGTTTGTCTCTAAGTGGAGGGTGATAGATTGGTTTATAATTGACTCCATGACTTTACAGCAGTGGTGAAATCTAAAATTTGTTACTACCAATTCTGTGGGCATGGCTTGGTGGTGGTGATGGTAATGTGACTGGGTGGGCATGGCCAATTTTTTTTTTTTACTTTTAAAAGCATTTTTTCTACAACCTCTTCAGTGAAGAGGTTGTAAAAAAATGCTTTCAAAAGGCTCTGACGATCCCAGCTGAGTTGCCTGATTGGCAGAGACATTTTTTCTTTTAAATGCCTCTGACAATCAGGCAACTCAGCTTGGATCGTCAGAGGCATTTAAAAGAAAAAAAGGGTTTTTTTTTCTTTTAAATGCCTCTGACGATCCAAGCTGAGTTGCCTGCTCGTCAGAGGCATTTAAAAGAAAAAAAGTCTCTGCCGATCAGGCAACTCAGCTTGGATCGTCAGAGGCATTTAAAAGGAAAAAAAAAGGTTTTCTCTTTTAAAAGCCTTTGATGATTCCAGCTGAGCTGCGTGATCATCAGAGGCTTTTTTTTTACTTTTAAAAGCATTTTTTCGGCCAAAGAGGTTGTAGAAAAAATGCTTTTAAAAGTAAGAAAAAAGCCTCTGATGATTGTGCGGCTCAGCTGGGCATGCGGGGGGGAGGGCAGGGATTTTTGTTAATGGTTCTACGAACCACCCGCCTCCATCGCTACCAGATCGGGCGATCCAGTCCGAACCGGGAGCATTTTACCCCTGCTTTCCAGGTGACACAGCACAAGGACATTGGTCTGTAATTTTCTTCTAGACTAGCATTTCCCTTTTTAAAGCTAGGTATGACCGTGGCTAATAACCATAGGTCAGGCAAGGAGTTGGTTCTGACAGATACCTCGTAGATTGTGCATAGAGGTTCAGCTATTGCTGTGGCAAGTTTTTTTAAGAAGTAGGCACATAATCATAATCTGGGAAATCAGTGGGCTTCCTTGTTCAGACGGTTGGCCACTGTGACAACAGGTATGTTTTGGGTAATGTGGCCCATATCTGAAGTGATATCACTTTTTTGCCTTCATGTCTTCCTGTAGCCTTACAGGTAGATTGTGTATTGAAGCATCCTTCACCTTCCTTGTATTTGCTCCAAAATAAGATAAGATGTTCGATTATGAGAAAGAGAAAAACCCAAATATAGAGAAAATAATATTAAACATGCAGAATTCTGGAATAGAAATAAGTTAGTGAATATCGCTACCTTTATAAAAACTGCATAAATAATATTGGATTTTAAGTCAAGACAAACATAGGCTACACTTCAGTGCTGGACATTGCGAACATTTTCTTAATCAACTGGAAAATACACTAAAATTGGACTCACCCACAGATATTATGCTCCTATTGGTAAGACTTAAGTTCTGTTAGGACCCTTCTTCCCCCCTCTGTATGTATCTTATGAAGACACTTTTACCATTTCCAGAGGTATTGGAGACTTTCTTAACATATGCCTTGAAACTGCCAGATTAACAGCTAAAAGGTGATCTGAGGCAGAAAACAAGCATATTTTGGGGAAATTCTCTTTCTTCTATTCCACATTCTGCAGGTTTTCTGCATAGTGAAGATGAAAGACCCCACTCCAAATGTGGTCCTTCATCATCACCATGAAATATGATGCTGGCTTCTAGCTTGCTTGTTTCATAAAAGGCTTATGTTATTTATTATTGTATAATATTGGCTAAAATGGCACATGCAAAGCACAGCAGAGTGCTTCTGGGGGCCTGGCAGGGCAAAAATGCAATGCATGGAGGAATCAGGAGGCCAAAAATGCCCATATTCATTCTATAAGATGCACCAAAATTTTCACACACTTTTAGGGGGGGGGGGAAGGTGCATCCTATACTCTGAAAAATACGGTAGTTGATTGAAGAAATGTCACATATTATGTCATTAGTTTCACAATTTCATTTCATTTAAAGTGTGTGTGTGTGTGCATACACACACGCAAACACATATACATACACATACACATTTTCCTGATAAAAGATAAGAACCGGTGTTTAGAAGAATGAACAAGTAAAGACCAAAGGATTACATTTCTTGCAGTTCATGCTTCTTCACTGGAACCAGAAAAATGTCTGCAATATTACAGCCACATCCCCAAACAAGCCATCACATCAGGTGGTGTTATAAAGGCTCCAAAATTACAATAAAAATCTTTTGACCAAGAATCCCCAATAGCCCTGTACAGTTTGTTCTGTACTTCGTTGTAGGTTACACCTGAATACTTGATTAAGCTGTTATGAAAACTTTCTTAATCAACTGGAAACACATTAAAATTAGACTCACCCATAGACATGATTGGCCTTTTGGTAAGACTCACATTCCCTTAGGACCCTTCTTCCCACCTCTGTGTGAATCTTATGAAAACACTTGTAAGATTTCCAAAGGTATTGAAGACTTTCTTGGGCCAAACACATGCCTTGAAATTGCCAAATTAACAGCTAAAAGAAAATCTGAGGCAGAAAACGAGAATATTTTGGGTGGAAAATCTCTTTATTCCACATTCTGCTGCTTTTATGCTCCAAGTGGTGCCCTTTTTTGTGAGATCTGGTACTGGCTACCAGCTTACTTGCTTCAAAATGGGTTGAAACGATTGAAGGAAGTCATAGAGGCTATCAGCCATGATGGCAGCCTGAGTGCCTCTGAAGGCCATCTTATTTATTTTATTTTTATTTTATTAGTTTGTCAAACATGTAAAGAAAGCAGGTATAAATATAGACATGGACATGAACAAAAGAAATTACATATAAATGGGAACAGTAGGACAGGGATGGTAGGCACGCTGGTGCGCTTATGCACGCCTCCTTTACGGACCTCTTAGGAATGGGGTGAGGTCCACAGTAGACAATTTAAGGTTGAACTGTGAGGGTTTGAGGATGTAACAATGGAGTCGGGTAGAGCATTCCAAGCATTGACCACTCTGTTGCTGAAGTCGTATTTTCTGCAATCGAGTTTGGAATGGTTTACCTTGAGTTTGTATTGATTGTTTGCCCATGTATTATTGAGGTTGAAGCTGAAGAAGTTGTTGACAGGTAAGACCTTGTAGCAGACAATTTTGTGTACTGTGCTTAGATGATACCACAGGCAACACAGTTCCAGATTGTCCAAGCCCAAAATTTCAAGCCTGGTGGCATAGGGAATTCTATTGTGAGTAGAGGAGTGGAGTACTCTTCTCGTGAAGTACTTCTGGACCTGCTCAATCATATTAATGTTCAATATACAATGTGGATTCGAGGCAGATGAGCTGTATTCAAGAATTGGTCTGGCAAAGGTTTTGTATGCCCTATTTAGCAATACAATGTTACCGGAGAAGAAGCTTTACAAAATTAGGTTAACAATTCTTAATGCCTTTTTGGCAATACTGTTACAAGTGAGCTCTGGGGCTTAGATCATTTGAGATGAGTACTCAGTGGTGGGTTCCTCCTGGTTCGGCCCGGTTTGGCCGAGCCAGTAGCGGAGACAATATGATATCAATTATGAGAAGATAAGATGTTCGATTATGAGAAAGAGAAAAACCCAAATATAGAGAAAATAATATTAAACATGCAGAATTCTGGAATAGAAATAAGTTAGTGAATATCGCTACTTCTATAAAAACCCACAAAGTCTCCCCCATGTTTTCTTTCCTTCTGTACTGCTTTGAAATAAGATTGAAGAATTAGGTGGAACTTTGACTGGTATTGATGAAGATTATCCTGGCCTGTTATTGAAGTCAGTATTAGTTTCTGAGCAAATCACAGAAGAATGTAGGTTCTCTAGACATTGAAGATGGGGTTATAAATACTCCAAAATTATCATAAAAATCTTATGACAAAGAATCAGCAGTGCCCAGATGCAGTATGTTCTGTGCCTCATTGTAGGCTACACTTGAGTGCTTGATTAAGACATTATGAACATTTTCTTAATCAACTGGAAAATACATTAAAATTGGACTCACCCACAGATATAATGCTCCTATTGGTAAGACTCAAGTTCTGTTAGGACCCTTCTTCCTCCCCTCTGTATGTATCTTATGAATACACTTTTACCATTTCCAGAGGTATTGGAGACTTTCTTAACACATGCCTTGAAACTGCCAGATTAACAGCTAAAAGATGATCTGAGGCAGAAAACGAGCATATTTTGGGAAAATTCTCTTTCCTCTATTCCACATTCTGCAGGTTTTCTGCATAGTGATGATGAAGGACCACACTCCAAATGGGGTCCTTCATCATCACCATGAAATATGATGCTGGCTACTAGCTTGCTTGTTTCATAAAAGGCTTTTTTAATTTATTATTGTATAGTGTGTCCTAGGTGCTCGCTGAGTTTTGTGGCTCTCTTGCAGATATTTTATTAACATTGATGAAACATTGCAACAAAACAACCATGCTCAGAGAGCACCAAGGACCCCACAGTTCAGCCTTGAGCTACAAATGTTCTCCTTATCTTATTAAGTAGTACTTAAAATAAGTGGTAAAGACTTCACTTTTCCATTACTGACACTGGGCCTCTTCTAGACTATTTCTGAGTTCTATAAGTTGTTTGTGTACCAGTGATTGAGAATTAATGACTTAGAACAGAACCCATGAATTTACTTCTGGATATATGTATATAAAGCAATAATAAAAGGACAAATGCCTTTCAACAATTCTGTCCTTTTCCTGAAACTATTCCAAGTGCTTCCAAGGATCCTGCTACCATGCATACAGGAAGTCCTCAAAGTACGACCAAAACTGAAACCACAATTTGCATTGCAAAACAAGCTGGTTGTTAAGTGAGTCACACCCAATTTTAAGACCTTTTTTGCTATAATTGTTAAGAGAACCATGCAGTCATTAAGAGAATCTGGTTTCCCCATTGACTTTCTTTGTTGGAAGATTACAAATGGAGATCAAATGATCCTAAGAAGCTGCAACCATCATAAATACATGTCAGTTGCCTAGCAGCAGGAGTTGGATCACATGACCAAGGGGTCCTGCAACGGTTGGAATAGCAATGGCAATAGCACTTAGATTTATATACCGCTTCCTAGTGATTTGCACAGGGATCAACAGACTTCACGCAGCTCCAGTTGTGTGAGCAATGGATGCGAGTCTGTGAAGCTCCGTTTGTATCAGTGGTGGGCTCCTCCTGGTTCGGAGCGAAGCACGTGCACGAAGAGAACTGGTAGTAAAGCTGGTTGGAACCCACCACTGGTTTGCACATGCACCCACTGAACGGTGGGTGCATGTACCTATTGCTTGCGGGCAGTATGTATCTTGAAGACAGTGGTGACCTTCTGGTGATCCAGCTGATGCAAATGATTTCTGAAAAGATACTCAACAATTTGTCTTCTTGGTCAAGTGTTTATTAGAGTCATTAGATGACAGACAGGCAGATCAACAGACTGTTGTGATTTGCATTTTGCAGATGTCAAGTCTTAATGGTGATAGGCAAATGTATATTAAGTGGTTGATTGAAGAAATGTGACATATTATGTCATTAGTTCCAAAATTTCATTTTGTGTGTGTGTGTGTGCATGGACACATGCAAACACATATACTTACACGTACCCATTTTCCTGATAAAGAACAAGGACCAGTATTTAGAAGCATGAACAAGCACAGACCAATGGATTACACCTCTCTCAATTCATGCTTCTTCACTGGAACCAGAAAATCATCTGCAATACTACACCAACATCCCCAAACAAGCCATCACATCTTTAAAGCAATGGACTAATCACATCATTTGCTAAAGCACAACCTTTATAAGTTTGGAGAAAGAAAACAATTGAAAGTATCAGAGAAAAATATAGGCTGAATTGAGGGTGATGTTGGAATAACATGCTCTGCTTTTTTATGGTGTGTTGCAGAGGTCACGATTGTCACAACATATGCTTTGAAAAATTCTCCCTGGTGGAATTGTGGCTTTCCCATTACATGGCTTATCAGGCTCAAGGCACCCTTGTAAAAGAATATTTTTCATTTTTCCATCTGAAAAAGAAGAAAATCGATTAGCACATCTCCATCGTTGCTTGCACAACAAACCCTGAAGAATGAAGAAATATCTAAGAAACCTCCTTAGAACAGCTTCCCCCTTCCTGGCACCATCCCCACCCACCCCCAAGCTATTGGTTTCCATTCTTGATTTGGATGGGAATTCTTGGAGTTGAAATGTAAAGCAGAATGTACATGATTTGACTGCAAGAAACTAGAAATGAAATACCCGACACACACACACTTTCCTTTCTACCCAGAGCATGGAAAACAAGGGGGACTGGGTTTTTAATAGGATAATGTGTGTCATGTGCAGGAGAAATATTTTTATCGAATAATACCAGATCTTAAGTAGAAACATACATACCTTCAAAATATTTGACAATCTTACACGGTTGACCCGGTTTGGCAATACATGTTTCCGATGGTTTCTTATCGACACATTTTGAAGGATTCAAATCATAATTTTTGCACTTGATGCAGGTAAGAGCTTCAGCGGCTGTAAAAAAAAGAAGGAAAATCTAGGTATTCTAAATATAATTAATTTCTACAGCTCCCAAATTCATTTATCTCCCATTTTCCCAATTGTTTCACTTGGTAGTTGGTACAAGAAAATTATAGGCAAAATGGTGAAACAGAAAAAAATGAGAGGCATTAACAAGGACACCCCCCTATTTTTAAAGAATGCAGGTTTTTTTTTAAAGGGAGTATACAAGTGGGAAATGATAAATTTATAGTACCTTTGTAAAATATTCCACCGAAACATCACCACTGTTATGACAAGGAGAACTTTGAAAAATTAGTGAAAAATGTAAATAAAAAAATTAAAATATATTAATCCTCTTATTTATTTATTTTATTCTTAGCCTAATTTGACAGCTTCAAGGGCAGGTCCACTTTGTATGTAGGACAAAGTATTTGAAACAGACAAGAAATGTTGTGGTTCCAAAGGGCTTAAGAGCTCTGGACTCACAACTTTACAGCTTTTTTGTTGTTTCATTTCTGGTTGTACTCATCAAACATCAAAGGAAAGTATTCTAGGACCTGATAGATTACCTTCAAAATATCTGAAGGACTTGGCAGACCTGCTCTCAGAACCATCAAACAATAGCTTTCAAAGATCCTGGAGCATCAGGGAACTACCAGATGGAAAAAGTCTGGTATAGTTCCCATCTCCAAAAAAGAAAGAAACTGATACAGAACACAATA